ATCATTTTTCTTTCGTTTTAATCCATTGACAATATTTATTTTATATTGATTGGGAGAAGTTTGGATTGAAGCGGATTTTTAATTTTTTTTTTTTTTTTTTTTTTTAATGGTATCGTGAAATAGAAGGGTTTTTGATTTTATTCAATGTGGTCGCGTTTTTGGAAAGGGAGGTTATGAGTGTAATTATGTAAATACTCTTGAGATTTGTTATTTAAATTTCGTAATGTGGTAAACTTTTTCTCCTTTTAGGGTGATATTAAGGTAAGAAGCAACGGTGATAAAGAGAAAATTATGATATGGTTATTACCTTTTTTAAAATTTTCAAAATATCCATTATTATTCGTAGTCGTACTTGTTGATTAATAAGAAAGAAGTATTCAAGTGAATAACAATTGTCTTCTTCTCTACACCTTGAGCGTTTTTAGGTTTAAGGGTCTCGCTGTGAAAGGAATAACGATGCTACTCCAATTTTCTTATGCATTCCTCTAGCATGCTTCTCTCCTTTCTTTCTTCTTTCTTTCCCCGTGTACGTACTTATTACATACGCGCGTCCTTCACTCTTTTACGTATATTACTTGCACACTTTTAATTATGATACCGCAAGAATATACAAAAGTCATTTAGGAATTTATAAATATTGTATTAATAATGATTTATTTATACAATCTTGTAATTCGATAGAGGAGAGAATAAGGAAGATTTTTTTTTTTTTAAAATTGAAATTCTAATAATACATGTGAATTTGATTATCGAATATGAGTGGAGGTATTATTATAACTTGTCGAGTCATTAATATTATGGAACCGATAACAAGAAGGCTCTCGAAACGATAAATTTCCAAAAGAAAATCGAATAATCCCCGTCCCAAATTCCTTTCCAATTCCCAATTTACACATATTTTCTTGCTAGTTGCAAATATCCTATTAAATAATGAATTATCACAGTTGAATACAAAATCGATTAGAAACTCATTAAATCAGAAATTATTTAGCCCAACTTTCTCGTTCCATCGTTAAAGCTGCATATTCGCTTGCATACATCCATAATACGCGTTTAAAATCAGCATAATCAATTCTACACAAGATGATTCATTAAATATTACTATCTCGTTTTATACCATTGTTATTATTGATAAACAAAAAAAATTTCAAATATAATTAAATTATTATACAAACACTCTTCCCTTTGTCTTTTATTTTATGGTAAATTTTACAAGTCTCAAGTTAAGATTTATCCTAAACTAACTATTTTTATACATAGATAAATAGTTACATCTTTTTACAAAGAATATCACAATATGTCAATTGAATTGCACTTAAAAAATGTAAAATCCCATACAAAAGGAAATATTAATGATTTTAGAAAGAAAATTCATCAGAATATACGTTCATTCCTTAAATTCAACATTCTCCATGTAAAACATTTTTTCATTATTTGTAATAATGAGATGGTAATATCTGGTGAGCCACCCCTTATGTTTCAACGTGTGTTCGGTTCACACGGAAACAATTCGAACTCGTTCTATGATGTTCGACTTCCACCAAACCTATCCCCAGATCCTTTCCCAACAAAAGAGACGAATTATTGGCCGAACGTGGAGATTTTCTCTGAACTTGCCGGTTCGGTGCACGGTATACGTCACCGGAAATACAAATACGAGAAAGGTCAGAGCGGGATAGGAATAAAGTGGTTGGCGAAACGAACCAATCTCGAAAACGCTTCTTCACTTGCACACAATGTATCGATTGTGCGCAGCCAAGCAATGCCACCGATTGTCGACGATTTTTCCAATTTTTTTTTCCCCTTTTTCCTTTTTATTTATTTTTGTATTTTTATTTTTTTCTTTTTCCATTTAGATAGATAGGTACGTTTTATTGTGTGTGTGTTTTTTATTGATACGAGTATAGAATTTGGAAAGAGAGTGGTAAAAGTGGCCTTTAAATCTAAAAGTTTTGGATACATGATTTGATTTGATAAATTATTTTCTATGAGATTTTTATAAAGTTTTAATATAAAGGATAGAGGATTTAATGGTCAGTTCTGGTCAGTTCTTCAGAATTTTTTTTGAGATTTATAAGTTTGATTTTTGAAGACTTTTAAAGATTTGAGTATTGGGATTTAAGTACATAAAAATCAGTCTATAATATATCATCACATAACAAGCAATATAAATATAGCATTGTAATAAATTAATTTAATAGTGAAAATATATTACTATAAATTTTTGTAATTTTATAAAAGAAAATAAACGTTTTTCAAAAATATCTTGTCAAATTTATGGCAATATTTTCGTGTTTCCATTCATAACTGTTCAAAGAAATATTTTCAAAAGACAACTATTCTCAAGAGTAACATTCTCTTGAGTCTCTTGAAACTGCCATTTTAATTCATCTGTGAATCAGTTATTAAATTGTGTTAAAAATATCATTCTGCAATATAAATTCTAAACAATGATATCTAGAATATATTTAAAATATAGCTAAAATTTTGTTGCATTTTGCTTGATCTCAGCATAAAGGAAATTCATATAAAAATATATGCTTGGAAATTCTTTCTTTCAAAAGTACAAACGCATTGAAATTTTACAGAGACAAATTTCGACAGACTCAATCTCTGAATATCGATGCAAAAATGTAGACCCCTGCAAAAAGAAATTTAAAATATTTAATTAATAAATCTTTATCAGTGATACGAGGTTAGATTTTCGATATTATTGAATATATTTAATATCCTTAAAAATGGATGCTCTTCCAAAAATTAATCAATCATTAATTAAGATCCTTTCCACCAAACTCATTATTTATTAAATAATAAAAAATGATTCCATCTTGTAAAATAATATAACTTATAAAATAATAATCGTAACGGAGATGAAAAGAAGAAACGGCGAAAATAAAATTATCCTTACAACGAAATGCACGACGAAAAAATTAGAAACGAGTGTGCAAAAGACGATGAGAAAATAGAAAAATTTCCTCTTTCGAATTTGCACGAGGGCAAGGAGCGATCTTATTATGGCAAAAAGTTTTTTGCGAAGGAGTGTGCATAACGAGATAATCCTTTCATGGAACAACGTTACAGCGAAAGAAGCGGAGTAACAGAGTAAATTGCACGGTGAAATTCGAAGCTGGTGGTAGGCGGAAGTTGCGTGGGTGAAGTTATAATTGCGTGATGTTGTTGCTTCGAATTAAAAAGGTTCGGACGCGAAAGGTAAACAAATTTAATCTCTGCTCCCTTTCCTCCATTTTTTTTCCCCCCTTCCTCTCTTTTGTGGTGTTCCTCGTAAATTCAATGCTCTCTGATAAATACTTCCACGTGAAAATTAACGAAAGACGTTTTCTCCCCTTTTGTTCCTTATTTTTCTTTTCTCCCTTGGAAAAGAATATATTTCAATAATGGTAGATCAAGTGTAATATTATTTAATTGAATTTAAGACGATTTCTTTTTCTTTTTCTTTTCTTTTTTTCTTTTTTTTTTAGAGGATTAGAAAGGGAACTTTACTCGAGGAAATTCCTGTCAAAGAAATTTCCCTTGGGTCTTCCCAGGCAAGGTGGCTTGGAGCAGGGTTAACTTCGTGAAACATTTTATATGCTCTATGCTAGAGTTCGCTTAATAGCTGGATGGTATATTGAATCGAATCGATTGAATTCGTGTTAACTAACGCGATTGTCCCCGTGGTATAGAATTCGAGGCGGATAGGAGATCGGTTTCTCTTGAACTCGATAGAATTTGGTTTTTAAACCGTTACGCGGTACAAATTCACGGTCCAAGGAGCAAACGTTCCTGTAATTGCTTTTCCACTGTCGTGTGCAAAATTTAAAAACTATATAAAATTGGATTATTGTTTTTTTTTTTTATATGAATATTATTCTTCTTGGAATTTAATTAATTTATTTTTTTTTTTTTGAGGAGTAAATATTCATTGCGTGATATTTGTTACCAGATTATTCGAAAAGTCTTCTCCATCTGTTTATTCTAATGTATACGTTTGGTAAAATCAGAAGAAAATGATTGATATGGAGATAAATCTAATATTATGAAATAAGAAGATAAGGATTTTGTATTACAAATAGAGTGCATTTGCACAGTTTTCAAGTGTTTTAATCTTGTTTGAAGTCATTTCTCTCTCTTCTCTCCATTAACAGAATTCTATAAATTTTACAACGTAATGCTTGATAAAATGCTAATTCAAACATAAATATTTAATTCTCAATAATTTTCCTAGGAAAACTGGATCGAGTTTCATCGATCATCATTGTTCCATTAATGGGAAAAAATTGTTGAAAGATCGAAAAATTCTCTCCAAAGTTGAATAATCAACAATTTTTTAAATTTCAAAAAAAAAAAAAAAGACAATACAAATTTACACGAAACATTCTCTTTACACTTCATTAAGAACTTCCAAATACTTCATGAAATATTCATCTCTCCGTCCTCTCATCCTAATTTCTTTACATGCAAACCAGACTTTCTTAAAACGAGAAGAAAAAGGGAGCTGAAACTAAACGTTGCAGGCGCATCGTTGCGCTCGCGGAAAAATAAGGTCGCAGATAAGCCACGTTGTTTTACAAACAGGAAATGCGATTCCTTCCAATTGCGTGACTCTTCCATATTTTTCTTTTCCTCTCACTCCAAACCCTTCCCCTCTCCTAAGATACAAGAAGATATATTTCGATTATTCCATATACACAAAAATAATTACAATTAAGAATTACAACTTTCTAAATATTTATTCAAAATTCTCTTTCTATCCGTAATAAACATCTATAGAGAATATTCACACAATTACAACCAATGAAAAATCCAAACCAAAGATTGATTGTAATTGATGGGTGGATAGTGGTGGTGTTTAATGAAGTGGTTAAAAATCGCTGGCAGGAAGTTGGCTAGCATGCAAGCGGCGTTAAAATGGCGCGATATACGATTGTTGACCACCGAACGAAAAGGTGCGAGTTTCTCACGCGATTTCTAACGTTTGATACTTACGATTCGTGTTCCAGGATGGCGCGTACGCGAAGGAAAGCGATATGGATGGGCTGGGACTCTGCCCTTACGATCCAAGGCACAACAGCACTGCGGTATTCGTCGGTGAGTTACAGATTCCAATATATTTTCGTCTATTTATTTTCGGGCGAAATATATCGCGTGAAAACGTTCCCCGCTGCGAAATGTACGTAGGTGTTCGTTCTTGGAAAAATTTCTTAAACGTATATCGTGTGATAGGTTTAGATAGGCGTTTCTGTTTCTGTGAAATGATAAATACCGATTATTTTACGTGGAATTTATTCAATAAATCGTGCACACAAGAATTATTTGCACGTGTATTTATTTTCTTCCAAGAGTTAAATTTTTGTATGAAAATTATTAGTAAATGAGATTAAGTGTACTTGGAGATAACGAATTAGTATGTAAATTTTGTATATATAAATTTTAAGTTGTAAAAGTAGATTTAATAGGTATTTTTTCTATGATCTATATTCTTTTGAATAAATTGAATATTTCTTCGTTATAAAACTCATAATTTCTTTATTACGAAATTCAGATACATTTGCTAGAAAAATGATGCACAAAAATTAAAATTTTAATGAAAATTACTCTTCACGAATCTACAGAATTCTATTAATAAAAGCAACAATGATTTTTTCCTATACCAATACCATATTAAAAATGTATAACAACATTATTTATATACACAAAATTTTCATAAAGATATTAAATAAATTCCATACAGAGTCACACATTTACAGATATAACAATCGTTTTAATCCGTTGAATATTTTAAAAAAAGGCGTATGCCTTCGAGATTCGCGATTCAAACGGAAAGAAAGTTACCTACTTTCCCGTAAGCTCTTGAAATTCCCAGAAGAGCAAACTCCTTCGAAACGTGGCCCCTTTATGCATAAAAAGGTATTTCCTTATCGTTCTTCTCGATCGCAAAACCGAGCGAAATTGTTACGCAAAACGATCGTATCGTCGGCACGGCACCCCTAAAATAGATCGCTCTCCTCTCTCTCTCTCTCTCTCTTCCAATTTGCATATTTATTTTCATTGATAATATTATTTCTCGTCTCGATTGATCGCTTTAAACGATCTTTAATTATTGATATATCATATCCTCAACTTCTAACTTTACAACATCCTGACTCCATTTTGTAAAGATATTTCCATTATTGAAAAAAGTTACTAATTTTCGCGTTAAATCGATTCTACTTCGAATTCGTTTAACTCGTTAAACAGTTTGATCCGCAAATAATTAAAGAGTATTAAGAAAATCGGGGAACTCTTTAATCGGTAACGATTTCGGATTACAGAGAGAGAGTAGGTCGAAAAGAGTGTTCCTTTGAGAGAAAGAGAGAGAGAGAGAGAGAGAAAAAGAAAGGGAAAAAATGTTTCGATGTTTCACCAGCATCTCAGTTAGTTCCATCAGGGCTCTCTGAGAATACACCGATACGATAGTACAAGGTCTCTCGGATCCCTTGACGAAGTTAACTAGGATGCTGGGGTGGAAACTTTGAAACAGTCTTTCAAAAGGGTACGGGTTTACACCCGTAAACCTCTAACAGTTTTAACTACAAGAGCCTTAAGGATCTAATTTGTAGAAAATTCAATTCCGCCGGATCGGATATACTCTCTCAAATCGAGCTACTTTCCCGTGCTTGCAATTAATAGATTTAATTGTAAAAAGTTGATTGAACACGTAAGATGTTTGTACAAATTAAATATAAATGTGATATAGAATAGATGTAAAAATTTGTGGAGTTAGGATCCAGTTTAAGTAAGTAGAATTCAAATCTGTTGGAATTCAATTTTGGAAAGT